GCCCTTAAAGGGGAAAGGTTGCCTACCCCTGGTCTAAAGCATCTGGTGAAGCCAGAGGTTCTCTAGCCTATTTTATGGGTTCTTAATAGATTGGGGTGGAGGAATAGAAAATATATATATATATAAGACCAGTGGCATAGTGGTCTGAGTGTTGGACTACAACTCTGGAGCCCAGGGTTTGATTCCCTGGTTGGTCACAAAACCCACTGGATGACCTTGGGTGTGTTTCCAATTTTAATATATGTAATAATTTCTAATTGCTTCTCATAGAATGTACACCGCTGGCAGGTCTTTATTTTATCTTATTTATTTTAACTTAACTGATTGTATGTACAGTGCTGTGCAAACTTACAGTGCTTTATAAATAAATCTTAATAATGTTCTTAGTCTCAGGGAAAGGCAATGGCAAATCTCCTCTGAACAAATCTTGCCAAGAAAACCCCATGATAGGTTTGCCTTAGGCCATAAGTTGGAAACTACTTGAAGGCACACAACAACAACAACAAATGAAAATGCCTTCCTTGCAATTAAAAATTATACCCAAACAGATGTTTGCCATAAAGGATAGCACTGAGTTTAACACAAACATCTCAGACTAAGATTGCATTGAAAATCCATAATCCTTCAACAGTCCTGAACTAGCCCAGCTTCTGCCAACCTAGAAGTTTGAAAGCATGTAAAAGTGCAAGCAGATAAGTAGGTACCACTTTGGTGGGAAAGTAACAGCATTCAGTGAAGTCAGGCTGGCCATGTGATCACAGTCATTTTCGGACAACGGTGGCTCTTTGGCTTAGTAACAGAGGTGAGCACTGGTTCCCTACTGTCGGACTCGACAACCTTATCAAAGGGGAAACCTTTACCTTTTTACCTTTATTATCTAACCATTGTTCACAAATAGTGTAGATGAATTAACCAGAATCGGTAGAGATGATCACTGACCTCAGGATTTGATTAGGAACCCAATACGGTGATTTAGAAAACAGTTCAGTTCCAGTCAGGTCTACATCCAAATCTTAGTTCATTAATTAAAGTGTTGTGATTTAAATTGTCCCCTTTGTCTTTAACTGGAAATCATCAAGCATTCTTTGCTTAGTCAGAACTGGATGAAATTTACAGACACAGTAGTTCTTTAACAGGAGTGTATTTCCAACACTTGGACAAATAGGTACAATGACTTTACACTATGTACTTTTAAAGTTTTTTTCCCTTTTTTTCCCCTAAAGGAGCTGGTACTACTGTATTTCCATTTCCTGCCAGAATTTCATGACATTTGCAGGGATAGTTGTCCCTTCTGTGGGGATGAAGCCTGTCAACTTCAGAAGAATATATACAAGACATTGTTTGCAAGAGCAGTATTTTACAATTGTGGAGTTCCCCCCCCCAAAAAAACACTAACTTATTCCTTAGGTTTTTTGTTGGTACTTATTAGGAAAATAACATGTAGCATAGGTAATAAAGCAAAACTATCTCAGGTCCCACACACAGGGTCTGCTAGGACGCTACCAACATTTCTTCTCTTGGAAGGGAGAACCAGCAAAGTGCACTGAACTAGCCCAGAGATGTATTACTTCATTATCTTAAAAACACTAGGTTTAGAGAGCCCTGAGAAAACAATTCACTGTGGTCCAAAACACAATCCAGGGGGCTGCCTTTTCCTTCCTCTGAGGCTGAGAGAGTGCCCAAAGTCACCCAGTGGGTTTCTATGGCTGAGCAGGGGATTAGATCCTTGGTCTCCAGATTTGAAGGCATGGAGTCCAATGTTCGAACCACCACACCATGCTGGCTCAATTCTATACATATCTACTTGAAAATAAGTCCCACCAAGTACAGTGGGACTTAATCCCAATAAAGTTGGTATAGCATAATTTCAAACAACTGTTGCTAGAATTCAAAGACAAAGCTGTGTTAGTCTGGAAAATCAGTAGGCAAAGAGATCTTGTGCACCTTTGAGAATGACTGACTTTCTTTCAATTAGTCTCAAAAGTGCTACAAGATCCATCTACATTCAAACAACTGTATTATCGATGAATTCAGTAGGTATAGATTCTGGTTTTCCCAGTCATTGCATCTCCAAGTCTGAAACAATTTCCTCTTTTTTTCAGTTTGTTTTGGGATGACCTGGATTGGCTTTCTTTAATCCACGGTCCCACTAAGAAGCTCCAAGTAGTGGACACAATTCTCCCCTCCCATGCCACCCGTTTCCTCCCCGCAAAAACTCTTGAGATTGTGTTGCGACAGTGACGGCCGAGTGTCCTTTACAAATGAGGCATTTCAATCTAAATTCCCCCAGTTCTAGTCCAATATTATAACAACACCACACAGAGATTTTATGCTTTTACGGGGATTCTGTTGGGAGTCAGGGAGGGGCGTAATTAGGATTTTATGTCATGCTCAACTGTTTTGCAGTCTTGCAGTCCTAAAGGCACTAGACAGGGATCTGATCTTGGAAGCTAAACTGAGTTAGCTCTGGTTAGTAGTTGGATAGGAGAGCAACGAATACATCAGGTGCTGTAGGCTACATTTCAGAAGAAACCACCCCTGAGTATTCCTTGCCTAAGGAAACCCTATAAATTTCATGAGGTGGCCATAAGTCAACATGTAACTTGAAGGCATAGTCACACATCTCAGTCTCAGAGGGAGTCTCTCAGTCTCAGAGGGAGGCCCCTCCGCACAAATCTTGCCAAGAAAGCCTTGTGACAGGGTCACCGTAAGTGAGAAGGAACTTTAAAGTGCACAACAGCAACAAATTTGGTTAACGTAATTGCGACTTGTCGCAGCAGTGGTTAGAAGAAAGGGCAAAACATGGCCAGCCTCCTTGCAACTTGACAGTGCCTCTGAGCATGTGGTTTGCTTTCCCTCCTGAAAAACCACTAATTGCCTTCTCTTGTTGTTAACTGCCCTTGAGTCAACCTCATCTCATGGTGACCCTGTGGATGAGACCTCTCCCAAGACCCCCATCCTCCACTGCCCTGCTCAAGTCCTTCAGGCTCAGGCCCTTGTCCAGTCCAACCATCTGGCATGTGGTCTTCCTCTCTTTCTCCTGCCCTCTACCTTTCCTAGCATCATTGCCTTTTCTAATGAATCATCTCTTCTCATGAGGAACAGCAGCAGTCTGGATGAGACTTGCATCCAGAGCTCTGGGCACATTTGTTTCTCAGAGGGGAAGAGGACAGGCAATGGGCTGCTTGAGAACACAATGCAAATGTCAGCACAATGAACAAATGAATAATTTAAGTGTAGTTGTAGATTGAAAAGTCAAAGGTTTGTTGCTAGTAAAGTACAACTTTAAGCATTTGGCTTGCTCAGAGTTTTATAAGTAAGCATATTGCAAGCCAATAAGGCATTTTAATGAAGATAAGTTCATCAGAAAATAATAAAATGCATAATAAAATACAAAGATATAGCTATGTTAGTGTGTAGAATCGGTACATAGGGAGATATTGTAGCACCTTTGAGACTAACTGAAAGAAAGAAATTGGCAGCATGAGCTTTCGTAGACTTCTGTCTACTTCCTCAGATGCACCTGGCCTCCACCAAATGCATCTGAGGAAGTGGAATGAAGTCTACAAAAGCTCATGCTGCCAATTTCTTTCTTTCAGTTAGCATAATAAAATACAGTATATGTAATATATAATGCTGCATGGCATAGTTGTTTGAGTGTTGGACTATCTGGAGATCAGGGTTCAAATCCCAGTTGAGCCACAGAAACCTACTGGGTGACCTTGGGCAAGTAACACTCTCTCAGCCTCAGAGGATCATGTTAGTCTGGTGTACAATGGCAAGCCCCCTCTAAAGAAACATGCCAAAGAACCCCCATGAGAGGGTTGCCTAAGTCGGAAATGACTTGAAGGCATACAACAATCACAATACAGTTGTAAATAAACCATATAAAATTAATTTATATTTATATGCATGTTTGTTCGCTTTTATTTGGTAATATCCTCCATTTTTCTCGGATGCCATACATTTTGAGGTGCCTTGTCCTCCTTTATAGGTATGCCATCTGGCAGGGTGAGCAGCTGTTCTTCTTTTCCAGGACCTGTCCTCCATTTCCACCTTCTGTCCAGGCAGAATTCCATAACGTCCTCCCTTTGAAGCATGACTGAGAAGCTTGAATTTACATTTCTATGAGTTCCTTTGGTCATGTCCCCCATTTTTCTCAAGTGCCCTGCATTTTGCGGTGCCTAGTCCTTCTTTGCAGTGAGGACACCTATGGTCACCCTGCATCTAGTTCTTTCCTGGCTGCCCTTCTCAGTTTATGTAATATTTTTTGTCATCTTCCCTTGAGTCGACCTCGACCCATGGCGACCCTATGGATGAGACACTACTTCTTCTCTACTCAGTTCTTGCAAGTCCATGCCTGTGTCCCCACTGACAGAGTCCATCCATCTGGTATGCGGTCTTCCGCTTCCTCCTCCTAGCTGTAAACAAACCATAGGAAATGAATTTATATTTCTAGGAGTGAGTGTTTCTAGCTTTGTATTTGGTCATGTCCCCCATTGTTCTTGACTGCCCCCCATTTTGCTGTGCCTTGTCCTCCTTTGAGGTGAGGACACCTCTGGCCCCCAAGAAAGAACTGGTCTAGTTCTTTCATGGCTGCCCTCCTCAGTTTAGGTAATATAGCTGTAAATGAACCATACAAAGTGAATTCAACTGTATAGGAGAGTTTTTAGCTTTTCTTTGGTCATGTCCCCCATGTTTCTACATTTTGCAGTGCTTGGTCCTCCTCTGCAGATATGCCACCTGGCAGGATAACCAGACATCCTACATTTCAACCATCTGCCCAGGAGGAATTCCTCAATGTCCTCCATTTTGAGTATGACATTCCTAAAAGTATTTTTAGCTTTTCTTTGGTCATGTCCCCCATGTTTCTACATTTTGCAGTGCCTGGTCCTCTCTTCTGCTCACTCTGTACAAGTGCGGGTTAATCACGGATTCTGTGCGAGATAATGGCACTTTGTGTGTGAAAACTATTCACACACTTGCGGGTTAATCATGGGTTAATTACTGTTTATTCTTCCAATTTTCCCCCATGTGATAAACTCCATAGTCTTCTGAGCCCGCTCTCCAGAAGATTTTATCACACAGAAGCAAATTGCTTAAATTCTGTGCAGAAACGGGATTTAAAAAATCCCCCCCCCAAAAAAACCCTGCAAAAGCGGGTTGTTTTTCAGATGTATTTGTGTAATGGAGAAAT